TCGCAGGATCAAACTGTGGAGGCAGCGGCGGAGGAGGTGTTGCTGTGTTGCCGGAAGGTCTTGGTCTTCTCCTTGGCGGCATGGTTCTGTCATAAGTCGTAAACCAATGTACTTTTAGTAAAAGTATATTTATAGGAAGAGAAATCTTTTATACATAAAGTATATTATTACGTTGTTTTCCGGTATGTTTACGATACATACGATTTTATACTTTTAATTGACCCAATACATTGGGTTATGAGGTAAAATGAAAGTATAAAATATTTTATTTGAGTTTCCTTGTTTCCAAGTATATGACTGTTTGTAAAAGTTTCACATATACTAATTTAGTCGGGACATAATTAATATATTATATTTTAAAATGATCTTTATCGGTTACTTAATTAGTTGCAAAGTGCATACCAGTCATATGTGATTAAGATATAATAGTCCTTCGAATAGATGACCCTAACTCCAAGACCACAACCAAACAAGGACAGGAAGTGAAACAAAGATACATAAATTCTAAGTCTATAGCATCTTAGTTACATATGACCTTAGCGCATCCACTTAGCAGCTATTGATCTATAAATAAAGACCTATTTAATTCTCATATAATTATTATAGTAACACAAAATACTCCTATAGTATTTGTAAATGTTTAGTTTTGAGTTCTTAAAGTATCCTTTGTAGTGTGATATTAGGTTGTTAGATTTGTTGCCCATCCTGACCATCCCCCGGTATATGCAAGTCAATTCCCGGACAGATATAGTTGATCAGGCTATATCCTTCCCAGATTTAATCCACATATACTAAGGCATACTCAAAATGTTCAACTCTTCTTCTTTGCTTTATGTTTTCGCTAGTTATGATACCATGCGAGCATGTAATGTATGTATGTATACTTTAATCAAGAAAATCATTTATTTTCTAAGAGTATATTTATTTGAAAAATGCACAAATCAGAGACTATTAGTCCCAATTGTGTTTATAGTTTGTATATCTTATGTGGTTTGATATACTTAATTCACTATAAACTGTGCTCTGATACCAATCTGTCACACCCCCAAACCAAGGATGGCGGAAACGTCCGGGGGTGGAGGACTTCATGTATAGTATCATAACAACAATTGTAATAGTAATTGAAGCAAACACAACCAACATATATATAATTGAAAAAAAAGTTACATCATTGTATGAATTACATGTTTACGAATCAATTACAATATGTTGACAAAATATGAAATAGTAGACGCCTTAGCGCCCCATCCTCAAAAGCACTTGGTTACCTGTTTAATGATTTCCTGAGAATACAAGTTGTTTGAAAAAGTGTCAACACAAAGGTTGGTGAGTTCATAAGCTTTTGTTTGGTATTATTAAAAGCCTTTCGTTTGTAAAAGTAGTATTTGTGTTGGAAAATCCAATATTTTCCTTAATGTGTAAATGTAGTCTTAAAACCCAAAGACCGAAATGTACAAGTAATTTGTCATATTTATAGTAAAACAATGCAAGTTTAAATCGACATAAACTCGTTAAATTTTAATGAAGTTCCCGTAAATTCCAATGTTTATTAATACTTTATGTGAGTTTATTATAACCATACTATGACCAAGGTTGCCTAAAACGACGTTCTTCAGGCGTCGGAAATGTTATGACATTTGTCACCCCAGACCTATCGGTCTAACTGTTGCATGCAGTTTAGGTGTGGGTTTGTCAAACCCAATATAGATCTATACACAACTATCACGCTCTCCCTCAAGGAGACTCTGGTTACAATACAGGACTTAATGGTAATTTGAAGTAAATGTCTCACAAAGTCATTAACGGAATTACGTGTTATGAAAACTTGGTACCGTATGGCCGTACCTTGCTTAATGAAAATATCCTTTGTATAAATGTACCCTTTTTAAATGTATGTGTTATGTAATGTATCATAAACTATACCTATTATAGTTTATCAACCAAGGGTAGTACTAGTAATGTATGCAAACTATATTCAAAATAGTTTATTAAATGTTTGAATGTATCGGTTGTACTTTGATTATAATCACTTGTTATTCTTTATATTTTATATGTCCAAATCCATTTGTAAACTGATGTGTGTCTAAATATTAAGATAAATGTCATATATTGCAATAACATATAATCACATAAAGATATACACCTTGCTCAACATGTTACAAGGTGAAATGAAATGCAATTGACAGCAACTTTTCGTTGAATACAGTTTATGTTACTGTTCTTAGAAAATTTATAGAAAATCATCAAAGCTCTAAATCCAAATCCGCAAATTCTGAGAGTTTGGAATATGAGTCTAGTTTGTTCGTAAATTTTATCATGATTTTTAGTGATCTCTAACAGAGGTGAAAATGTTCATAATCACAGACTGGTCCGGGTTTGCCTCTGAAATGACAGGCAGTTTTGTAAAAATCACCATAAATTGTAGAAAAATCATATGGAGATGTGCAAGTAGCCATTTTAAAGCTAAGAGTTTGAGCTACTTGCACCTGAAACAGTTTTGAAAACTAAAATATTTAAGTTGACCAAAACAGTCCGTGATCGAAGTTCATCTTTTCTGATGTAATCTGATAGAAAAAGTTTAATTGTGTTCTTGATGATTTTACTTGTATTCCCCCCTTAAAACTTAAGAAAAACATGTAAATGTAGGGTTATGAACTCACCTTATGTGGTTTCAGTAGATGAAAGTGAGAGAGAGGAAGTATTCAACCCAAGAACACTAAGAAGATGTCTTGATGATTCGAGAATCTAACACCGAATAAGATGGAATTTGTGTAAGATATCAATGATTTGAGTAGAATGGAGTGTAATAATTATATGAATGATGAAGATACTTACTAATTGAAGAAAGAAATCCCTGAAGAAAGCCTTGAAGTTCTTGAAGTTGAGAGAAAAGATGAGAGAATTTTGGAGAGTGTCATTTGGTTGCTAAGTGTAGAATGAAAGAACTTTATGGAGAATGAGGAGAGAGGATCAATCCTCCAGCTCTTAGAACATGGGAAGAGCTGGAGATTGGGTGTAAAGGTCCAATAAGGAGACAAGGGGTAGTGGGAAAGAGTGGCTGATCATAGAGTGAGGTGGTGGTGGTTTGCTTTTGCCATAAATTAAGGAAAAGCAAATATTCCCTCAATAATTAGTTCAACCACTAATTCTTTTAATATATTTTTATAAAAACCCTGGAGATTTATATATTTTGGGGCTTTAGTTTATAAAATAAAGTTTTGGGTGAAAATCTCACGTTAAAATAATGAAAAACGGAGTTAAAACGAAGTCGTAGTCGAAAAACCGGTAAAAAGGGGCCGTCTGCGAGACCTCTCGCATGGGCTGTCTGAGAGGCTTCTCATGCGAGGCTTCTGTCCTGAGAGGCTTCTAATGAGAGGCTTCGGTCCTAAGAGGATTCTCATGAGAGGCTTCGGTCCTGAGAGGCTTCTCATGAGAGGCTTCAGTCCTGAGAGGCTTCTCATGAGAGGCTTCGGTCCTGAGAGGCTTCGGTCCTGAGAGGCTTCTCATGAGAGTTTTCGCTTCTAATAGGAGGGTTTTGGTTCCTTAAGGTTATTTTACTCGTTTTTACCCCGTTTCAAGTGGTTTTTGACCCGGTTAAGGGTCGGGATGGCCCGAATGATTACAAAAAGTTAAAGTAACTTTTGAGAGATTTGGGAGAGATTTTGGAGAGATTTCAAATAGAAAGAGATAGAGTGAAAACGATTTAGAGAGGTTTCGTTTGTGATTAATTTGAGTGTCCGGCTTCACAACGCAAGGTTCGTAAACCCCGTTAAACCGTGTTTTAGTGTCGTACACACTCCCGATGAGTGTGCAATAATGTTTTATCGTTTTGGTTCAATGTTTACTTAGGAAATTCAACACACGAACTTTCCAAATGATGTTTCTCTCATTAAGATATTGCATTGTACAGTAATTACATAGTGTAAACCCTAATATACAAGGGTTAATTGAGTCGATTGGTTTTGACTTGTTGACTTTGTTTGACTTTGACTTGACTCAATTTTGACGGTTGTCACACTGGCCCTCCTAGGGGGCACTTGGCAACTCACTCGTGGGGCATGAAATCCCCAAATTCCTAAAGTACTTGCTGCACTTCTTGGGAAAGAAGTCGTCTTGGTATTGGATCCGCTCTTCTCTTAGCATGAACATGAATTCTATTCTATTCGTCTTCTTTATTCAACCCCCACCCGAACCATTCTTAAGACCACCAACTCGCTACTAAATAAATTTCTTCAGTTGAAGTAGCTCTTTCCTGAGATGCCCTCTTGGCCACCCACGCCTTGGCTTTTTAGAGAATCCGCTCTGTCTCGTAGGAGTTGTAGTCGGCAGGCCCGGGTGGGTTTGTTTATCCTTCCAGTTTCGAGTGTATTCTTGGATAGTTATAGCGGCCCATAGGCGCGAGATGTACCTTGTGGGGGGGGGGGGACGATTTCGAGTCGGTGATTGTAAGATCAGCACAGATCAGAACTAAAGCAGTTCTATGAGATCAGGCAGAAGTGAATAAGACAGAGCACAAACCCATCTCTGTGGGAGGCTGCTACCCATAAGGCCATACCCGGCAACTTTACTTTGCACATGCGTTCATCGGCGGCTGATCATGTTACGTCAAAGAAAAAGACCGCTTAATAAGACGCCTATTCGATCTACACTTCTGCTGAGTCTAACGAGGCTCAGGTGCGGAGCCTTCCACTGTCACTGTGGACTGAGACTACGCAAAGGTAGAACATCATAGAAACATCGCTGACTTTCTCATAAACGTCTCATTCCTCTTCACCATAAATAGCTCCATCCAAGCCTACGGCAGCTGATTTCCGATCTGATCATAACCGCCGTGAAGTGTTTGGATGCAAAGGCGATGGTTTTTGTTTTTTTTTTCTTTTTTTAGAATCTTAGACTAAAGAAGAAGGCTCCTGAATCAGCGTGGCTCCTGACCTTGGAAGATGGGATTCCGAGACCTGGACCCTTTTTCATAACTTCCGCTCGTTGCATACCTTGCTCCA